GTGAAGGAGAAAACAGGGTTAACGTTTCGGGTCCCGTGACCCTTCCTCAGAACTGAGTCACCGGACCCGAAACGTTAACTCTGTTTTCTCCTTCACAGATGCTGCCAGACCTGCTGAGCTTTTCCAGCAACTTTGTTTTTGTGGCAGGAACTAATATTGGGCAAGGATGTAAAAATCACAACGTTGTACGTTAGCTAGCAGAATTCTTACTCAATGAGTTTAGTCCAGTAGAATCTTGAGTCACACAGATCAGGAAGTCTCCTAGGTTTAATTCTGTCTCTGTTCAGAGCATGCTAAGAGAGAGAGACTTTGATCCTTCAACTCCAATGGAGTAGAAACCATAGAATCCCTACAAAGTGTAAGCAGGCCATTCAGCCCATCGAGTCCAAACAGCACCCCGACCAGACCAACCCCCCTCCATCCTATCCCTGTAACCCTGCATTTTCTATGGCCAGTCCACCCTAACCTGCACATCTTTGGACTGTGGGAGGAAACCGGAGCACCCGGAGGAAACCCATGCAGACACGGGGAGAATGTGCAAACTCCACACAGTTGCCCAAGGCTAGAATCAAATGCGGGTCCCTGGTGCTGTGAGGCAGCAGTGCTAACCACTGAGCCACCGTGCCACCCTGGAATTGGAAACTTCACCTGCTGGTGAAAGCTAAAGTGTTTCAAAGTGCCTACCTTCCTATTTAAACAAAAAGGTAAATGGTGTAAACACACTGGAAATGTTGGTACAGCCAGGTTTGCCAACTTTCTAGGGATAGTTATAGAGTCCTGAGGTCTCCAGGAATTGAAGGTTAATCTCCTGGGCATGAGAAGCTGGGTTAGATAAAAGAATCCTCAAAAAATTTGCAGTTCATTTTCTTCATGTTGCAGTTTATTGTGGAGACTGTGTGTGTGTGTGTGTGTGTGTGTGTGTGTGTGCGTGCGTGCGCGCGCGTGCGTGCGTGCGCGTGCGTGCGCGTGCGTGCGTGTGTGTGTGTGTGAGAAAGACAGACAGACAGAAAGAAGAGGGTGGCAAAGTTAGCCAAGAGCAGCAGGGTGGTAGGAGGACGAAGAAGATGAATAAACGACAATTTTAGCCAGGCTGGAATCCCATGACATCAGATGGAACTCAAACTCAAGCCTTACCCTTTTAGTTACTTTACACAGAGGATAACATCAGCCATGCACCCACTGCTACTGGGGTTAAGAATGCCCGCTTCCAGCTAATCCGACAGTTATCTCCACTTCACAGATATCTCCTGACCTGCTCCGCACTTCTCTGTCGCTTGGACAATCGAGGCGGGTGGGGAGAAGAGGGTGGTAAAGGTGCCCAGCAACTTATCCTGGTGTGGTTTCTGGCCGTTGTTGAACTTGTGCTGTGTTCCGTGTCTATCTAGGGGACTCCACGACCGTTATAAACTGCACCACATGTCTGGAGGTGGAGGTCAACTGCTGGAGCCTGAAGACCTGCTGGCCGAGTGAGTAAAGCCCATCACCACTGCGCCACTCTCATTGTTGAACGAAATGCAGAGTCACAACAAGGAGGTCACAAGGTCTGAGTTTTTCAGGGGCAGGGGGAAGGGTCCAGGGCAACTTCATTTCAGTAAAATTCCACAGGGGCCCACCCAACGAATGGCCAGAGGCAGGGCCTCCTAGAGGCGAGTGGTGGCTGTGTGATTATGCCTTCATTGGAGAGGGGAGGCCTATGGAATGATTGGCAGCAGATAGAATACTATAGTCAGGGATTGGGAGATATGGGAAAACTCTCTTTTGCATTGATTCCTGGTGAAGATGAAGGGGAGAAGGTTCTGAGCAGGGAACAGAAAGGGGGAAATGAAACCTGACACAGTGAATACTCAAGGGCTAGAAGAGTATCCACTGAGCCACAAAGAAACCTGAACTCACCTTCCAGCCCAATATCCAACTCCCAATAGGCATACCTACCTCTACCACCCCACTGCCCTCTCAAGTCCCTCCTCTAGTGGGAAGGCAATGGCCTGATGGTATTAGAAGTGACATTATATGACACTTTTCACTGTATTTGTAACAAATACAATGATAATAAATCAATTAATCGATGGCAGGTAATCCAGAGACTCAGATAATGTCTTGGCACCTGGGTTCAAATCCTGCCACAGCAGTTGGTGGAATTTGAATCCAATAGAAAATCTGGAATTAAGAGTCTAATGATGACAATGAATCCACAAATTTACAAACCCATCTGGTTCACTGTTGCCCTTAAGGGAAGGAAACTGCCATTTTTACCTGGTCTGGCCTATATGTGACTCCAGACGCACAGCAATGTGGTTGACTCTTGACTGCCCCTGGGCAATTAGGGATGGGCAATAAAAGCTGGTTTAGCCAGCAACACCCTCATCCTAAGAATGAATGAGAAAACAGCACACCACCACCACTATCCCCCACCCCCCCCTCCCAACACATCACTAAGCCCATGATCTGGTCTTGTGTTGCAATTGTAGATTGGGAGCATGGAAGGACAGAAGTGGGATAGGATGGGTTTTAGGGCAGCAAGTAAGGCTTCAATGCCCATAGGATAATAATTTGGGCTGCAGCTGCTCAACACTGCACCGGGTGGATGTCATGTCTCCAAATGCCCCTCATACATTCAGACAGACCAGTGGTCATCATCAGGATCAAATTGACCGTCATAGCTATGGGAAGGGTGTGATACAGGAACAGACATAGAGTGACGGGAGTAAGATAAGTAGGATAGCTCTTTCGAACAGCTTTCACGTGCATGGTGGACTGAATAGCCTCCTTCCGCACTGCAAGATTCTAACATTTCACCTTGTTCTTCCAATAGACAGGCTAGATCTGAATGAATCCATTTATCTGATTGTTGGCCTATCAGCTGGCTCAATTTTGATTGGTTGCATAACGCTCATTTTCGAGTAAGTTAATGAAACATTATGACGAAACTACCTACAACTTAAAGCAACAAAACAGGCCGTTGTACTCCATAAAGTCTGTGCTGATGTTTATGCTTCAAACAAGGCTCCTGTCCTTCCCTTCCCCCCCAACCTCTTCAATTCTCTCTAACAGAACCTTCTATTCATTTCTCTTTGATGTGTCCGTCAAGCTTCCCAGTAAATGAATCTATGATTAACAGCCTCTACATCTTGTGTTTCTCTCTATGATACACTGTAATCTCTCCCGTCCAAAAATGCTTGGGACCAAGTTACTTCTGAATTTTGGAGTTTCCTGGATTATAGGATGAAATCAGAATGCTTTAACGGCAAGCACGCATACCAGTAAATGCTGCAGATATAAACGCTTACTGGAAGCATAAACATTACAAAACTGTAATAAAAATAGTTTTACTTATTCGAGCATCTTAACTGTTTCCACTCCCAAAGTACTGTCCTAAAATAATGCCCATGAGCCCTTGCAGCCTGCACAAGAACTTCCTGACAACTGAAGTGTCTGAACCATGTATTTCCAGACTGGAGAGGTCACAGCATTTATAACCATTGCCCGGTTTAAACCTGACAAAAATGAATGACAGAAGAAGTTGGTAACATTAAAATAAATCCGCTGTCAAGCAGCCTGCCTGATGGCGAGTCAAACGGACCAAACAAACTGGACAGTTCTCGGCTCAGTCTCCATCTTTGGCTGAGCTACCTGATCCTAACTGATAATTGGCATGTTATAAACTTATAAAAATAAGCAGGTCTCAGGACACTCATCTCATTCTTAAAGTGCTCTCCCTCCTTCCCCTAAGCAGTGACCTCATTCCTCCCCACAGGACACTTTTGGAATACTGCATTCAACTCTGGTCTCCCTGCTGTAGGAAGGATGTTGTGAAACTTGAAAGGGTGCAGAAAAGATTTACAAGGATGTTGCCCAAGTTGGAGGGTTTGAGCTACAGGGAGAGGCTGAATAGGCTGGGGCTATTTTCCCTGGAGGCTGAGGGGTGACCTTATAGAGGTTTATAAAATCATGAGGGGTGTGGAAAGAGTGAATGCTGTCTTGATTTCAGTGGCAGGCCTGTACACCCTACCTTTGGAATTCAGCTTATTTGTCCATGATTGGACCAGAGCTGAATGGTTCTGGTGGGACTCAAGCGAATCAAAATGAGCATCGTGAGCAGGCTATTCCTTTCAAAGAGCTGCTTGATAGCACTGTCAATGACCCATTCCTTTCCTTTACTAATGATAGGGAGTAAACTCATATGGCGGTAATTGGCTGGGCTGGATTTGCCCCTGCTTTTCAACCTGAGCGACTTTCCACATGATGCCTGTGTTGTAATTGTACTGGATTAGCTTGGCTAGGTGTGTGGGTAGTTCTGGAGTACAAGTACCCCTCAGTACCATTGCTGGAATGTGTCAGGGTCCATAGTCTTTGCTGCATCCAGTACGTCAGCTGTTTCTTGATACCGTGTTCAACCAAATTAATTGAAGACTGGCGTCTGTGATGGTTGGGACCTCAAGAAGGGTCCAAGATGGATTGTTGACTTGGCAGCTCTGGTTGAAGACAGATGTAAATGCATCAGTGTTGCCTTTTGCACTGATGTGTTAGGCACCCCCATCTTTGAGGATGGGGTTCACCTCCTCCTGTTAATTGGCCACCACCATTCACAGCTGGATGCGACAACCTTTTAGTTTCAGATTTTTCTAGAATTAAATTTTCATCATTCACCATGGTAGGATCCAAATTCACATCTTCAGAACATTAGTTTGAGCCTCTGGACTGCTAGTAAAGTAACATTACCATTCTACCACTCAGTGCACATTTCAGTTATGTTTCCAGCTTAACAACAGGAATGCAGTTCACAGAAGATGATTCATTAGCTGTATGGGGTCTATTGGTTTCTTAGGATTATGGCAAGGTGCTATGGAAATACAGGTCATTCTTTCCGATGAAAGTTCATCAACCTTAAATGTTCACTGTTTCTCTCTCTCCTCACAGTTGCTGCCTCACTGGCATTTTCCATAATTTCATGTTTTTAGTTCACAGTTTAAGAATGCAGTGTGTTTTCTTTCTTTCCACAACAAACTTCAAAAATGTTGTGAAAATTACCCTAACAGATCAAGGAAGTTCCGAGCCGAGGCGAACCAACAGTTTGAATAGAGGACAGAGTTTTACTCTTAGAGACTGCACACTTCAGAATCAAGAGGCGATCTGAACATGAAACCTACAGACAGGTTCCGATGTTGCATCATTGTATAAATCCAAATTAACCTTTATTAAATCAAGTTGTGTACTCAGAAAAGTTAAGCCTGTTTGAAAGCGGAATCAATTCACAATCGTAGATGCTTGTAATTTATTCACATTACTATAAGGAACATGTGTTCAAGAACTGCTGTTGCATTCTGCTGATAGTTACCAACTGTGACCCTAAAAGTCCACAATAAATGAAATGATACAACATGTTTACTGGTTGTGTTTTATTTGTGATATGTGACTGCTCAGAGGAGATGGGCTGTGGAGTATAAGCATCGTGCCTCAGATTATCCAAGAGATACCAGAGAGAGAATTGGAGTGTGTAAGGAAGAAACGTATTGTATTTTTATAGTACCTTGCATTACCTCAGGATGCCCCAAAATGTTTCACTGTCCAACAAATTACTTTTGAACTGTAGTCACTGTTCTAATTTACGAAACATGACAGTCAATTTGGGTAGGATTGGAGAGAAATTCTTTGTTTTGTCACATCTTGGCTCGACTATTCCAATAGTCTTCTGCTTGGTTTGCACCTTCCACCCTCAGCAAACTTCAGCTCATCCAAAACTAGGCTGCCTCATCCTAACTCGCACCTAGTCACATTTGCCCTTTTGCTCGCTAAACTACGCTGCCTCCTAGTTTGGCAATGTTCAAACACATCCACCCCTCCCTTGCTCCATAACCTACAAACGTCCAAAGACCTCTGCAGACTTCCTGTTCAGTTTTTTTAATGCCACCTCAATTTTCACTGCACTCTCATGGACAGCCTTGCCTTTAGCTGCCAAGGTCCTAAGCTCTGGAATTTCCTTCTCAAACTCATTGTTTCTGTGTGTTTGTGTCTCTCTCACCTTTTTAGGATGCTGCTTGACCAAACTTCTGGTCACACACTCTAATTTCTCCTCATGTGGCTTGGTGAACTGTAATTAAATGCTACAACTTTAAAGAGTACAGCAACAGAGAGAATCATAGAATCCCTACAGTGTGGGAGCAGGCCATTCAGCCCATGAAGTATCTACTGACCCCCAAGAGTACTCCACCCAGCCCACACATTCCTGGACACTAGCACGGTCAGTCCATCCTAAACTGCACATGTTTGGACTGTGGGAGAAAACCCATGCAGACACAGGGAGAATGTGCAAACTCCACACAGACAGGCACTTGAGGGTGGAATCAAGCCCAGGTCCCTGGTGCTGTGAGGCAGTGGTCCCTAGGAGGGGCCTGGGATATTATTACAGTACATAAATCTTTGAAAATGACAGATTTTTTAAAATATTCATTCATGGGCTAATCCAGAATTGATCACCAATTTCCAATTGCGCAGAAGGTAAGTAAAAGTCAACCACGTTGTTGTGGGTCCGGAGTCAAATATAGCCAGATCAGTTGGACAGCAATGTCCTTCCCTAAAGGACGTTAGTGAGCCAGATGGGCTTTTGTTAATGGCAATGGCCTCCCAGTCATCAGCATGGCATGGTGGCTCAGTGGTTAGCACTGCTGCCTCACAGCGCCAGGGACACGAGTTCGATTCCAGCCGCAGGTGACTGTCTGCACATTCTGAGATAACAAGGTGTAGAGCTGGATGAACACAGCAGGCCAAGCAGCATCAGAGGATCAGGAAAGCTGATGTTTCAGGTCTAGACCCTTCTTCAGAAATGGAGGAGGGGAAGGGGATTCTGAAATAAATAGGGAGAGAGGGGGAGGTGGATAGAGATGGATAAAGGAGAAGATAGGTGGAGAGGAGACAGACAGGTCAAAGAGGTGGGGGTAGAGCCAGTAAAGGTGAGTGTAGGTGGGGAAGTAGGGAGAGGATAGGTCAGTCCGGGGAGGACAGACAGATCATGGAGGGGGGATGAGGCTGGTAGGTAGATGGGGGTGGGGCTTGAGGTGGGAGGAGGGGATAGGTGGGAGGAAGGACAGGTTAGGGAGGTGGGGATGAGCTGGGCTGGTTTTGGGATGCGGTCAGGGGAAGGGAGATTTTGAAGCTTGTGAAGTCCACATTGATACCGTTGGGCTGCAGGGTTCCCAAGCGAAATATGAGGTGCTGTTCCTGCAACTTTCGGGTGGCATCATTGTGGCACTGCAGGAGGCCCAGGATGGACATGTCATCTGAGGAATGGGAGGGGGAGTTGAAATGGTTCGCGACTGGGAAGTGCGGTTGTTTGTTGTGAACCGAGCGTAGGTGTTCCACAAAGCGGTCTCCAAGCCTCCGCTTGGTTTCCCCGATGTAGAGGAGGCCACAACAGGAACAGCGGATACAGTATACCACATTAGCAGATGTGCAGGTAAACATCTGTTTGATGTGGAAGGTCTTCTTGGGGCCTGGGATGGTGGTGAGGGAGGAGGTGTAGGGGCAGGTGTAGCACTTTCTACGGTGGCCCTGGGAAAAGTGCCGGGGGTAGTGGGCTGGAGGGGAGTGTGGAACGGACAAGGGAGTCATGGAGAGAGTGGTCCCTCCGGAAAGCAGATAAGGGTGGAGAGGGAAAAATGTCTTTGGTAGTGGGGTCAAATTGCAGATGGCGGAAGTGGCGGAGGATGATGCATTGGATCCGGAGGTTGGTGGGATGGTACGTGAGGATGAGGGGGATTCTGTTTTGGTTATTATTGCGGGGAGGGGGTGTGAGGGATGAGTTGCGGGAAATGCGAGAGACACGGTCGAGTGCGTTTTCGACCACTGTGGGGGGGGAGTTGCGGTCCTTGAAAATCGAGGACATCTGGGATGTCCAGGAGTGGAATGCCTCATCTCGGGAGCAGATGCGGCGGAGGCGAAGGAATTGGGAATAGGGGATGGCATTTTTGCAGGAAGGTGGCTGGGAGGAGGTGTATTTTAGGTAGCTGTGGGAGTCGGTAGGCTTGAAATGGATATCGGTTTCCAGGTGGTTGCCAGAGATGGAAACAGAGAGGTCCAGGAAGGAGAGAGAGGTATCGGAGATGGTCCAGGTGAACTTAAGGTTGGGGTGGAAGGTGTTAGTGAACTGGATGAACTGTTCGAGCTCCTCGTGGGAGCACGAGGCAGCGCCGATACAGTTATCGATGTTACGGAGGAAGAGGTGGGGTTTAGGGCCAGTGTAGCTACTGAAGAGGGATTGTTCCACGTAATCTACAAAGAGGCAGGCATAGTTTGGGCCCATGCAGGTACCCATGGCCACCCCCTTTGTCTGTAGGAAGTGGGAGGAATTGAAGGAGAAGTTGTTAAGGGTGAGGACGAGTTCAGCTAAGCGGCTGAGGGTGTCAGTGGAAGGAGACTGGTCGGGCCTGCAGGACAGGAAGAAGCGAAGGGCCTTTAGGCCATCTGTATGGGGAATGCAAGTGTATAGGGACTGGACGTCCATGGTAAAGATGAGGTGTTGGGTACCAGGGAATCGGAAGTTTTGGAGGAGGTGGAGGGCGTAGGTGGTGTCACGGACATAGGTGGGGAGTTCCTGGACCAAGGGGGAGAAAATGGAGTCGAGATAAGTAGAGATAAGTTTCGTGGGGCAGGAGCAGGCAGAGACAATGGGTCGACCAGGGCAGTCAGGTTTGTGGATTTTATTTAGCGACAAAAGACTGCTCCCAGTCGTGAACCGTTTCAACTCCCCCTCCCACTCCTTGGACAACGTGTCCATCCTGGGCCTCCTGCAGTGCCACAATGATGCCACCCGAAGGTTGCAGGAACAGCACCTCATATTTCGCTTGGGAACCCTGCAGCCCAATGGTATCAATGTGGATTTCACAAGCTTCAAAATCTCCCCTCCCCCTACCGCATCCCAAAACCAGCCCAGCTTGTCCCCGCCTCCTTAACCTGTCCTTCCTCCCACCTATTCCCTCCTCCCACCTCAAGCCCCACCCCCATCTACCTACAAGCCTCATCCCGCTTCCATGACCTGTCCGTCCTCCCTCAACTGACCTATCCCCTCCCTAACTCCCCATCTACACTCACCTTTAGTGGCTCCATCCCTGCCTCTTTGACCTGTCTGTCTCCTCTCCACCTATCTCCTCCTCTATCCACCTTCTATCCGCTCCCCCTCTCTCCCTATTTATTTCAGAATCCCCTTCCCCTCCTCCATTTCTGAAGAAGGGTCTAGACCCGAAATGTCAGCCTTCCTGCTCCTCTGATGCTGCTTGGCCTGCTGTGTTCATCCAGCTCTACACCTTGTTATCTCAGATTCTCCAGCATCGGCAGTTCCTACTTTCTCTGTCTGCACATTCTCCTGTGTCTGTGTGGGTTTCCTCTGGATGCTGCGGTTTCCTCCCACAGTCCAAAGATGTGCAGGTTAGTTGGATTGGCCATGCTAAATTGAACATAGTATCCAGAGATGTGCAGGATAGTTGAGTTAGCCATGGAAAATGCAAAGTTGCAGGGATAGGGTGGGAGGGTGAGTCTCAGTGGGATGCTTTTCAGAGGGATGGTGTGGACTCAAATGTCCTGCTTCCACAGGGATTCTGTGATCTTCTCATTAGACTCTTAACTCCAAATTTTAATTTGAAATCAAATTCAGGCCCCCAGAATGTTACCTGCGTCTCTGGATTAATAGTCTAGTGGTAAGACCATGAGGCCATCACCTCCCTGTCTGAGAATGCAGTTAAGAAAATCAAAGTATCATGTTACATACATTCAGTGTATAATTATTAATGTTCACATATTACAAATTAAACTTACGATACATTGTATGAATTTGAAACTCTGTTTTTATCATTCTTAAAAAGTGTTCTTATTTTATGTACTCACCTGTCTATTCCTGGGTTATTAGTCAGTGCAAGAGCTGAGTGAGTTATGCAAAACCTTTACATTGCACTGGCTAGACTTTAATTGAAGTATTGCGTTCAATTCTAGACAGGGTAATGGGAGCAGATTCAATGGTGGTTTTCAAAAGGAATTAGATAAATCACAGATTTGTTGCAGTTCAAGAGGAGGCCATTTGGCCCATTGTGTTTGCACCAGTTTCTGAATGAGTATTTTAATCAGTGCTGTCCTCCTCCCATTTCTCTACAACCATGAGTAATACTGTTTCTAAATAATCACCTGATGTCCACTTGAATGCCTCAACTGAACCTAACTTTGCTGCACTTCAAAGCAGTGCATTCAAGATCCCATCTACTTAGTGTGAAAAAGTTTTTTCTCACCTCAGATTTGTTTCCTTCAGAAATTGCCTTATATTTGTGCCCTCTTGTTCTCAATCCTTTGGTGAGTGGGAAGGGTTTCTCCTGATCTACTCTGTCCACGCTGCTCAGG